GTCAGAGCGGGCAGTGACATTTGCCTCAGAGCTGGGGTTCCCGCTGCCTGCCTGGGCACAGGGGAACAGTCCTGCTCTCTCCTCAGGGTCCCGTGGAATCAAGCTAGGGTCGGGCATGCCTCCTATCTCACCTCCTGTGTCTGCAGACCTTCCTACCTGCTTTCTAACCGTGATCCGGCAGCTGACTCCTCTTAACTACACCATGGTGTCTCCAGTGCCTACCAGTATTTACAACAGACTTCAGTAGTTACTGAAAAGCCCAGTGTCCATCCTAAGGGAGCTTCTGTAAATTGGACAGAGATGGGGAACTAAACAGAACTGATCTGAGAGCTGGCAGCTCTGACTCCCTCTGAGGGCTCAGTTTCTGTGGGGGGCTCTGGGTAGGGGTTGGAGGATGGACCTCAGCTGCTCTGGGTCACTCTGTGCTCTGCAGAGACCGGGGACATCTTATACTGCTGGTGGCTCTGAGAAGGACAAAGAGCTGAGAGTGCTGTGTTTTCTACTGGGCAGAGGCACACAGTTCATGTCCAGGGGTGCTGTGAATTTAGATGTGAGCCCCTGAGCCTGTAAGTCAGCCCACAGCAGCAGGGTCTGTCTGTCACATGAAGCGAGAGTTAGGATCTACGCTGAAACTGACAGTGGGAAGGCCCAAGTGCCCCCACCTTCTACCTGTGGGGCCACCAAGTCAAAAAAGCGGACTCCCACACTGGAGTTTGGTGCTGTAGAGGTACCTACCCTCAATGGTAATCATTCTTTTTTTTAAATCATAGCTGTGTACATCAATGCAATCATGGGGTACAATGTGCTGGTTTTATGTACAATTTGAAATATTTTCATCAAACTGGTTAACATAGCCCTCATGACATTTTCTTAGTTATTGTGTTAAGACATTTATATTCTACACCTAGTAAATTTCACATGTACCCTTGTAAGATGCACCGTAGGTGTGGTCCCACCAGTTACCCTCCCTCCACCCATCCTCCTCCAGCCCCTCCCCTCCCTCTCCCCTTTCCCCCTTCTTCTTGAGCTATAGTTGGGTTATAGCTTTCATAAGAAAGCTATAAATTGGTTTCATAATAAGACTGAGTACATTGGATACTTTTTCTTCCATTCTTGAGATACTTTGCCAAGGAGAATACGTTCCAGCTCCATCCATTGTTCTTAAACGCCTTTAAGTTTGGAAAAAATTAGGCTTTTGATTTGCCTTCCATACCATGAGTGTATGTATAAAAGTTGTAACATACATGTATAAATGTATAAAAAGTGACAACAGAAAGTCTGGGGAAAATGGGGCCTTCTGTTACCTTGTGGAGTTTGTATACAGGGGTGCAGTGCTAAGCCAGACAGGGCTGGGTGGTTCTGCAAAGCCTTTCTCCCCCTACTAACTCAAAAAGGAGAGTGTTTCCATGCTGTTGGAGTAATTATGCTTCTTTAATACTACTGTTTTATTTTTTTAAGTGGTTAGCTATTTAGTTTCCTTTGTGGTAGGGAAAAGGAAATTGAGGACATAAGGGCTAGCTCTTCCGATGGTGTTGCTCCTGCTGCATCTTATGAGTCCTGAGGTTAGCGACCTCAGAATTGGGACTCTGAGTCAAAGCAGCCTTTCCCCAGCGGTCTGCAGGCTTTCAGCTGGAGTCTGCCTTGTTCCCAGACCCATGTTAGATCCAAGCACATCCCAGGGAGAGCAGGTACAGGTGGCTGGGAGCGTCTCAGGACATCACCTTATCAACTGTGTCATGCGAACACTGCTGGCCACTGCCACGTACCAGTACCCATTTGACAGATGAGGGAACTGAGGACAGAGGCTGGGTGCTTCAGCCGAGTTCCCACTGGTGGTCACTGGTGGAGCAGGATGGAGTCCAGTACGACTCTGGAGCTCTTTGTTGCAACCCGTACCCTATACTAAGATGGGTCAGAACTAAAGCGGGAATTTTCAAATATTGAATGCTGGGCTTTGGGGTCATTGCTGACTCTCAGAGTGGTCCCTGATGTGGATGAGGAAAGTGAATCTTAGGTGGCAGAAAGCTGAGAGGGACCTTCAGGGGTCCAGCCTTACCCCATCCCCCTGTATTACCCAGATCATAGCCGGGAAAGTAACTGTTCTTGGCACCAAGCTTCTCCCTGCTCAACTTTGAGTTACTGTGAGACAGGGCCTTGACCTGCTCAAAAGAACCTCCTAGACCCTCCCTGTGCAAGAGACTTGAGCAGGGGGCAGATGGCTGTAACAGGAGCATCAGCCCAGTGTAGAATCACGGTTGTAGTGCCCTGTGTGGTCAGGATGCTGTGGAGAGGCAGTGGAGGGTGACGGGTACCTTTGTGTCTAGCTCCTTCCTCTACCTACCCCTCCTCTTGGGCTCCCTCCAGGCTGGCCCCTGTGAGAGGCCAAAAGAAGTACTGGTGGATGTGTGACCAGGCACATCTTACATTATATATAGACCCCCAGGGAGGTGGCCCTGGGCAGCAGGGGGTGAGGAGAAAGTGTGACAAAAACACACTAGGCCTGGAAAGAAAATGAGAGAACCAGGTCAAGGGCAGTGGCTTATGCCTATAATCCCAGCAATTTTGGAGACCAGGGTGGGATGATCCCTTGAGCTCAGAAGTTCAAGACCAGCCTGAGCAAGAGTCAGGAGAAAAACTAGCCCCTCGTGATGGCCCAGCTACTCAGCAGCCCCTGGTGATGGCAGGCACCCGTAGTCCCAGCTACGCGGGAGGCTGAGGCAAGAGATCACTTGAACCCAGGTTGAGTTTGAAGTTGTTGTGACCTATGATGCCATGGTACTCTTTGTCCTGCTCCCCATAAAAAAAAAAAAGAAAACAGAAAACTGGTGCCATGGCTGATTTGCATGGAAAACTTGGTACATGGACCTGGAGAGGCTTGAAATATGCATAGCAGTGTGACTTCACTTTCTTAGAGCAGGTCATGCTTATCGTAATTGTAGATAAGTTCATTTGGAAGAATGTGCGTCAAGAGCACTGGTCTCGTGGAGGGAAGCTTGGCCACGCTGCAGCCAGTACGCTGACCAGTCTTCTGTGGATGCGTTTGGATAAAGTTCTTACCTAGAAGCCAGAGACATATTTTCTTTGGTTATATTGGATATTATTTTTATAGACCTAGTAAGGCCAACTGGATTTGGACATTTCATGTGTTGGGTAGAAGTGACCCTCTCAGGGAGAAGAGTGGGTTTCTGTGAAAGTGAACGGAGCAGAAAGCAAGTCCCCGGTCCCCAGTCCCCAGTCCCAGTCCCAGTCCCCAGTCCCCAGTCCCAGTCCCCGGTCCCCAGTCCCCAGTCCCCAGTCCCAGTCCCCAGTCCCAGTCCCCAGTCCCCAGTCCCAGTCCCCAGTCCCCGTCCCCAGTCCCAGACCAGCCCCAACCTGGGATTTCTCTGGGTTGGGGAAGGAGCTAGGAGGTGTCAGGCTAGGGAGGATGGCCGTGCCTAGGTCTCCCAGGCTGGTCCTTCGTCCCTTGAGACCCTTAGCTGTGCCTCAGGGAAGGGCCGTCCCTGCTATCACTGAAGCCCCCTGACCTGGGACCTCAAGGTCAGAATGGTGTTGACTTCTTCCTGGATTCAAGATGGCAGCTGGCTGGCTGTGTCTATAGAGGTGCAGTTTAGTCCCTCCTTTGGCAGCCGTCCCTCCCCGTGCTTGCTCATGGCTGTCACTCTCCCCCCCTACAAAATCAAAGTTCAGACAAAGTAAGTGCTCGGCTGGAAACACACCAGCCCAGCCAAGACGGAGCAGGACACTTAGAAGGGAATCTGTCAGGGAAAGCTGACATTGACTAAAGGACAGAAGATCCAGCTTTAAAGCTGCCACTGATGCATCGATTGTGGGGATGGAGATTATTCAGAGATTTGGCAGAGGATGGTTGCAGACTCAGAGCATAGGCTCCAGACTCTCTCTCACCTGCCTGTGTTCCCACTGGGGCCCCTGGGGGCATGGAGTGAGCCTGGGGCACTGTTGATCTGCCCAGTGAGATTTGATCCACAGCCCGAGGGGCCCCACATGAGGCAGCCTGGGGCCCTGGGAGGCAGGTGGGTGGTTTCCTGCTGCCCAGAGACAGCCTGCCTCTGGGCACACAGCCAGCCAGGGACTCTGGGGAGGGGCAGAACAAGCTTCCTTGCAAGAGGCAGGCTCAGTTTAAAATGCCATCTTGTTCTTCCAACTGCTTTTTCCATGCTGTGGAGGGTAAGGGTTTTTGTTTTTTGAGCATTTCACATTCCCTGGGATGCTTTTAAAAACCCTTAGCTCCACAGTAAGGCGCAGTGTTGGGTGCTGTGGCCTGCAAAGAGTACCTTTATGATCCTCTGAACTTTCACTTGGCATTCTATCCTTTTGCCTGGGAGCTGCTCAGTTTCATATGGGAAAATGAAGCTTGCTTATACTTTCATAGGAATAAGGGGCTGAAGAATTCTGTGGCTGTGTTCTTACTGTGTCCTTTTTATTAGTTTAAATTTCACCTTTTTCTTAGTAATTAATTTCAACTTTGCCCTATGCCTTGAGGACTGTGAGAAGCAGGGTCCCACAGGAGAGGCACTGGGTGCTGACTGCAGAGACTGGGGCTCTGGGAGCAGAAGGCAGGTGGAGTCATTAGAAGTAATGGGAAAACGGTGACCTATGGGAGACTTCATTGCTTTGCATGTTTTTGCAACTGGTTCAACTGTAAAATATCTAGCCCCAAGATCACCCAGCAGTATTGTAAGTGAATCCTGTGACTTCTGAAGACATGCTGTTGGTAGTTCTTGGCCAGGGCTGTGTGCTCCCATGAGGTGTCTGGGGGTTGTAAGAATGTGGTGTGGCGACCCACCTGCTCTACCCTGTGGAAGTGGGTGGGGAGGAAGGAAGGGAGCGTTGGTGGCCCTTGTCCTGCATCTCTGCTGCAGACAGGGACCTTTTGGTCACTTGGAGCCCTACTGCTTGTTTTTCTGATTGTTTTGTTTCAGTTTTTATTTCTTCAAGATCCCGAGTTGTTTATCTATACACATCTACTTTGTGTGTTGCAGGATGTGAAAGTCTTTAGTGAAGATGGGACAAGCAAAGTGGTGGAGATTCTCACAGACATGACAGCCAGGGACCTGTGCCAACTGCTGGTTTACAAAAGTCACTGTGTGGACGACAACAGCTGGACACTAGTGGAGCACCACCCACACCTAGGACTAGGTACGAAAGCATCCGGGGTTGGGACAGTCACGAGGGGTGCTGGGAGTGTCATCAAATGCAGTCCACCTCTGCCAGATGCCAAAGGTGTGACCTCATGGTCCCCTGCCACGCTAGGAGGCAGGGTCTGTGTTGCCCTTCAGTCTCCCCCTAAACATTTTACTTTGCTCCCTCCCCACCCTCTCCCTTCTGGTGCCTTGAGAATCCAACCTTGGATGGTTGAAGCCGTTCCTGGGGACTCAGATACCTGCTGCACACCTCTGCACTGAAGGCAGAGGGTGGTGGCTGCCACTCTGCAGAGAGCAGCTTATCTAAGTTTGGGTCTTACCTGGCATCTCTCTGAGCTGGTTAGAAATGCCCAGAGAGCAAGAGAGTATTGTATATTGTGGAATATTTGGAAAGATTTACTGTTTACAGAGCTCACTGAGGTGTTTGCTTCACTTCATTTGTTCAGATGTTCTAGTTCAGGTAAAGAAGCTTTTGGCAGACTTTTGCTTAAATTTTTATTGGATAAATTGTGGGACTTGAAAAATCATAGGCAAGTATTTAAAAATAGAATTTTCACCAAATCAGCAGCTATATTTCTGCCACGTCTTTGAAGGAGTGAAAAATGGCACAGATAGTGAACTTCCCATAGTTCTGAGTTCTTCTCCTTTGCCTTTGATTAATGAATGAAATTTAAACTTCTAGGTCTGTAATGTTTATTTAGTTGCGTACCACTCTACCAACTGATAACTGGTGATTTAAGCATGAATAATCTGATGTGAATTCCAGTTGACATTGCTTTAAGTCACTTTTCTAGCCCCGCCTGCACTTTTAGGCATGTAGTATACTTCTTAAAGTAATCTGATAGAACTCTCACCGGTTTCTTGCCCATCTCTGCTGATTGCCAGCGCATCTGTCTGACAACAGAACCCTTCTCCACTGTTGCTGACAGCTCTCTTCAGCCAGGTTCCTGCACGAGGCCCACAGTTAGTGACCAGGCTGTCATAGTTGTTCCCATGGAGACTGGCTGTCCTTTCAAGCTCCAGCTTGGGACACCCACAAGTAGCTCCTGCAGTGGCTGGTAAGGCTGCCAGAAGCACCTATTGACACACAGATAACTTGGAAATTAAACCCTATTAGGAAACATGAAGATTGTGTTGCTATGTATAAGTGTATATATGTGAAAAATACATATATGTAAAACTTTAAAAATGAATCTGTGTAGTTGGACCCAAATATAATAATTATTGTTGAAAGACTTTTGCAGACATCTGATAACTGAATATAATTGAACACCTAGGGCATGTGGAAAATGGGTACAGATACACATCAAATTTTAACATGCAAGGAACGCTTCAGAAATTTTGATTTATATATTTCTTGTGATACCCCTTGATGTCAGTACAATACAAAGAGCATAAATGACACATTAAAACTCAAGAAATAATCAGCCAAATGAAGAACAGATTACTGTGAGGGAGTAGAAAAGGAAATATCCATGTGCACTCAGAGATCTCAGGGATGTGCGATTCGTACACCTTTTTACTTGTGTGCACTCAGTGATCTCAGGGATGTGCGATTCGTACACCTTCTTACTTGTGTGCACTCAGTGATCTC